GATGTCACCTCCGCCGGGCAGCCGGCCCCCCCTTACCCCACCTTCTCCTTCAGACGGAGCTGCCGGCCTTCCCCGGCGGGGCGCTCCTCCGAAGGGCTTGTCACCGTTCTGGAGGCCGTGGGGCTTTGTTGGTGTGTCAGACCCTCCGGAGAGGGGCCATTTTAAATCCATCCCTTTACAAACCCCGCCTGAGCCCGGGGGAGCTGGCAGCAGCATCGCCGGGGAGCGGAGCGGGGTGATGGGGAGAAGGAAGAAGTTCCGCGGCCTCTTCCTGCAAGGCTTCCCTTCTTCTCCGGAGTCGCCCGCCTGCCGCAGGCCTGGATCCGCCAGCAGCTGCTTCCCCACGGGGGCCGAACTGGTCCCACCGGTGGGCTGCACCGAGCAAGCCAAGGGGCTCCAGCCACCTCTCACCCTCGGGCTGCGGCCGAGCCTTCCGTGCCCGGCACACAGCGGTCTATTGCTTTGCTAGCTTCCACTGATGCGCTGCCTATTTTGTAGAAAATCAGGTTTTGTACAGCCATTTGCTGTTATTTGAGGCTGCCGAGGAGCATAATTTGTCATCTTCCCCGAGTCGTATTCCGTGTGAACTCGCTCACCGGTGCTCGCGGTATCCATTCTCATCCGCCAGAGCAAGGTGAGCTGAGCTCTGATCTTCAGCTACACCAATTACATTCTCATTTGTATAGATGAGTGTAGTATTTCCCGTGATAACGATTAACAGCTCAGGGACATCTTTGCGGCAGCGTTCGGAGTGTGCCATTTGAGCAGACGGGAGCGGGTGGTGGTCTTTTTGCAAGAGAGCGAGGAGAAAATGAGCAGCGCTCGTTTGATCAGTGCCATTTTTAACTGCGGCTCTCGTCTAAGGTCGTTAGACCCTTGGGTAAACTGGGGGGAAAACTTCCCAGCGAATATGCTGCCATTCTCAGCTTTGTCTCACAGAGCTGTCAGCCCCGTCTCTGTGCGTGTTGGGTATTGCACACACGTACACGCGCTGGTGCTTCCCCGTCAGATCTTGATAGCATGAGAAGAAAATGCAAATGATGCCGAAACGGATGTAAAGGGAGAAAACATCGTCTTGGAAAGTATAGCCTTGGTCCAGCGAGCCGATTAGGCACATCCCTCAGCCTAAACATGCTGCTGAGCCATACTCGAGTGAAATGTGATGTGTCACTGGTTTGCTGCACTCTTCCTTAGAGTCCCTGTAAGTTTGGCAAGGATCTGGAACCATCCGTGGATCCGAATGGATCTCTGTGGGATCGGCCACCTGCTGCTGCAAGCCATCCACAGATCAAAATCATACCCTGTCTTCCACAGAGGTTTACATATTCCTAGAACGATTTCCCAGCGCTTTGCCAGGCTGGTTGACATTGCAGGTAATAGCTTAGAGAGCAAAAGGCCTGTATTTTTTTCCTAGGAAAAAAAAAGCCCCCTTTAAGAAAAGTGTGCATTTATACAAGGGGACCTCATTGCCCTGAAAGATGTGTTTACATCCAGTGACTGCAGCATTGTCTGGTGACATCAGTCCGTGGGGTGACTCTCCTACCGCTACGTTTTTCAGCCTCGCTGGCGAAGGAGGAGTCTCAGGCTTTTACTCAAACTAAGGCAGAAAGTCCTCGCTGCGTTCTAAAAACGGGCTTGTGGGTCATTAAAAATATTACGCTATTTTGAAACGGCTCAAACTTTGTCCTAGTTACTCCCCGGTTAGTCAGGCCTGAATTGCTTGGTGTAACCCTTCTCCTTTGTTTCATAAAAACAATTTGCTTTTTTAACGATCACGGCGCGAATTAGGGTGAGCGAGTGTGTAGCACCCAGAAGAAATCGCCTCCGGACAGCTATCAAAGCTGGGTTACTGTCACATACA